TTCATCCAGCTGTACAACTTGTTATCTCTAATCATTCTAGCTTTCCCTGACTTTCCAGGATTTATTTAATCAGAAATCTTGTACAGCTTTAATTTAATGAAAATCCCTGAGATGCTTTGCAGGGAATTTTAAAAGAAATCGGACAGATAAGGAAAAATCAGATCAACTGACTAAAGGGTTGGTTAACCTTACCAATAACATTAAAGGACAAAGATGGAGAAGTTCCTTGGCTTAAGGACGAAATGGCTGAAGGTGCTGGCAGAGCAGTTAAAATTGGGAGTGTTCAAGAGGCCAGAATTAGAGATATCTCAGAGGGGTGAGGAGTTGGAGCAGGGTCCACCCACTGAAAAAGTTGAAACCAAGGAGAAATTTGAATTCGAGGATGATAAACCTAAAATCAAAAACAGAAATTGCTGGTGAAGCTTAGCAGGTCTGGCAGCATTTGTGGGAAGAAAGCAGAGTTAATGTTTTGAGTCCGGTGACTCTTCATCAGAACCAATGGCAGCTAGGAAAAACTGGTATTGATGCTGAAGGCGAGGTTGGGGAGTGGTGGAGGGACAGGTGAGTGGTTAAGTGGAGATAGAGCACAAAGAGATATGAAAGGGATACATAAATGCGGCTTACGAATGGCAGGCCAGTACAGAAGAGAAGCTGAATAAGTGATAATGTGAGGGTAGCAGAGAATGGATAGCCTGTGCTGAAAGCAAAACATGTAAGGTGATAAAAGCCCTGAGAGTGGGTGAGAATGAGTTGTCCGTACTAAAAGCAAGCAATGTCGTAACAAGACTGGGTGTAGGGTGGGTGGAAAACATGGAAAGATGAAATCAGGCTTGATGTTGAGTCCCAGAGGCTGCAGGGTCGCAAGTGGAAAATGAGATGTTGTTCTTTGAGCTGTGCTGAGGCTCACTGGAACACTGCAGCAGGCCCGAGAGAGACATGTTGGCATGGTTGACATTGGTGTGTTATGTTGAAGCAGCAGGCCGCAGGAAGCTCTGCGTCATTTTTGTGGAAAGATGTTCTGCAACGCGGTCACCCGGTCTACATTTGGTTTCCCCAATGTAGAGGAGACCACATTGTGAGCAGCGAGCACAACAGGCTATAGATTGTGTGAAGTGCAGGTAAATCACTTCTTCACCTAGAACGTGCATCTGGGGCCTTGGATAGTGAAGAGGGAGAAGGTAAATGGGCAGGTGTTACTGCTTCTGCGATTGCAAGGGAAGGTGTTGTGGGCGTGTGCGATGGTGTTGGGAATGGAGGGGGAGTTTACCAGACTGTCCCAAAGGCATGCTCACAAGGGAGGGGAGTGGAATAAGTGTCTGATCGTGGCATCTTGTTGGAGGTGATGGAAATGGCGGCCTACAATCCTTTGGATGCAGAGACTGGTGGGCTGCTATGTGAGGACCAGAGGGATTCTATTGCTGTTGTTGGGGGGAGGAGAAGGGAGTGAGAGCCAAAATGCGGGAAATGGGTTGGGCATGTTTAAGGGCCCTGTCAACTAAGATAGCAGGGAGTCCTCAGTTGATGGAAAAAAGTGGGCATTTCTGAGGCTTCCCTGCAGAAGGTGGCATCATCAGAACAGATTGACATTGCCGAAGAAACTGGAGAATAGAATGGAATCCTTACAGGAAGCAGGATGTGACGATGTATAGTCCAGGTGACTATGGGAGTCGGTAAGTTTGTAGTGGATTTTGGTGGTCAGCCTATCCCCAGAAATGGAAACAAAGATGTCAAGGAACGGAAGGGAGGAGTCAAAGATGGACCAGGTGAGGGTGAGGGCAGGGTGGAAACTGAAAGTGAAATTGATCAACCTTTCCAATTCCGGATGAGAGAAGGAAGCAGCACCAATGATGTCATCAGTGTACCAGAGAAAGAGTTGTGGGTGATGGTCAGAGTAGCACTGAAACAAGGAATGTTCCATGTACTCCACAAAGAGGCAGGCATTACGGGGCCCATGCAGACTATACCTTTGATCTACAGAAAGTGAGAAGAGTTAAAGGAGAAGTTGCTCAAAGTGAGGAGCAGGGTGGTGGATGGGGACACTTGTTTGGATTAAACACCATCTGCTGTTTCTCCACCCGGCTTTCCAACTGATCTGTATCCTGCTGTATTCTTTGATAACTTTCCTCATTATCCAAAACTCCACCAACTTTTATGCCGTCTGCAAACTCACTAATCAGACCATGTACATTTTCATCCAAATCATTTCATATTACAAACAACAGAGGCCTCAGCACTGATTCTTGCAGAACACCACTGGTCATAGATCTCCAGTCAGAAAAACACCCCTCCACAACTATGTTCTGTCTTCTATGACCAAGTCAATTTTGTATCCAACTTGCAAACTTACAATGGATTCCTTGCAACTTGATCTTTTGGACCAGCCCCTACAATGAGGCTCCGTGTCATAGAACATAGAACAGTACAGTGTAGAAACATGCCCTTCGACCCACCATGTCTGTGCCAACTACGAGGCCATTCTAAACTAATGCCATCTGGCTGCACATAGTCTGTATCCCTCTATTCCTTGCCTATTCTTGTGTCTGTCTAAATGCTTCTTAAATTTTGTCAACATATCTGCTTCTACCACTTCTCCAGGCAATGCATTCTGGGCACCTACCACATTCTGTGTAAAAAATTTTCCTTGCACATCTCCTTTAAACTTTCCACCTCACCTTAAACCTTTGCCCCATTGTATTTGACATTTCCACCCTAACCAAGCCTCTGATAAGTTTTATATACTTCTAGCAGGGCATCCCTCAGCCTCCAAAGCTCCAGCAAAAACAATCGAAGTTTGTCCAACCTTTCCTTATAGCTAATACACTGTGATCCAGGCAACATCCTAGTGAGCCTCTTCTGCAACCTCTCCAAAGCCTCCACATCTTTCCTTCAGAACTGCACACAATACTTCAAATGTGGCCTAACTAAAGTCCTATATAGCTGCAACATAACTTGCCAAATTTTATACTCAATGCCCCGACCAATGAAGGTAAAAGTTCCATACGACTTATTTACCACCTTATCCACTTGCATTGCCACTTTCTGGAAGCTAAGGACTTGGACCCCAAGCTCCCTCACTTGGACCCTTGTGTTTTTTGCAATGGATTAATGACCTAGACCATGGTATGCAAATATCAGCATTTTCAGATGATATAAACCTTCTAAATTGTGAGGTAGATTGTTGGAACTTTAAAACAAGTTGATGGAGTGAGCACATAGGTGGCTGATGAAGTTTGATGTGGAGTAGTATGAGTCAATGCATTTTGGCAGGTAAGACATGGAGAGACAATGTAAAATAAGAGGTAAAATCCTGAAGAGGTACCTAGGTGTGTTTGTGCATAAATTAATAATGGTACATGACTGTTGACAGACCTGTTAATAAAGCATACAGTATCCTCAGCCTTATTGACAGGTACATTAAGATCGAGAGCAAGGAGGTTACGTTGAACGTATTTAAGACACTAGTTCAGTGTCAGTTGAAGTATTTGGGGTGACATGGTGGCTCAGTGGTTAGTGCTTTTGGCTCACAGTGCCAGGGATCTGGGTTCAATTCCAGCCTTGGATGTCTGTCTGTGTGGAGTTCACATGTTCTCCCTGTGTCTGTGTGGGTTTCCTCTGGATGCTCTGGTTTTCCTCCTACAGTCCAAAGATATATATGTCAGGTGGACTGGCCATGCTAAATTATCCAAAGTGTTCAGGGATATGTGGTAGCCATGGGTAGGGGGATAGGGATGGGGCTGGGTAGGATGCTCTTTGGAGGGTTGGTATGGACTTATTGGGGCAAATGGCCTGATTCCACACTGGGGGAATTCAAATTCTATATATTGAGTTCAGTTCTGGGCATCACACTTTGGGAAGGATATGATGGTGAGAGTGCAGAATATGTTTTTATGAGATTGGTTCCAGGGATAGGGAACTTTAGTTATGATGATAGATTGGAGAAGTTAGGACTTGCCTCAGATAAGAGAAGACTAAAAAGGAGATAAAATAAGTGAAGGTATTTTAAGAAAAAGCTCTTTGATGGCAGTGATTAGTTAGCATCTGCATTCCCTGAGATTATGGTGGATGCAGGCTCAATTGATGTATTCAAAAGGTAATTAGATGTTATTTCAAAATTAACAATGTGTCATATTATGGGAAATGGATGATGAATGAATGACAATAAATAAAATTCTGATTTCAAAGAGCTGGTCTGGACACAGTGGACTGAATGGCCTTCCTCTGTGATGTAATAATTCCCTGATTCAGTAAACATTACTGGTATCATATTGGTGCAATTATGAAGTGTATGGTTGAAGTAAAAGGTGGAATATTTGGGAGTTATACTTGTCATTTTGAACTGGGAGTCTGTAATGTTCTCTGTAAGAAAAACATACATTTAAAGGGTCATAACTTTGTAAGTTTAATGAGGTCAGAGCAGTTAAAAAGTATTGAACTGTTTTGGCTATTAAGACAATAAAGAGAAAATGTTTTAATTGTAGCAATAACGTAATAGTATAACTGTTCCCGTTAATAGCTCATACCAAGTCCAGCTTACTTCGGAGTTTGAGCAATGGTGTTAAAATTAATGAGAATCTAGTGGATGAATGGCTGCTTCCAGAAAACAAGGAACTGTTTGTGAATAATCACAACAAGGAATTGAAAGTTCTGAAAGGTAAGTTCGGCTTCAGCTTTGTTCTGCTGGCATCTCAGACTTTCATCTGCATTCCTCCAACAGTTTGAAAATTTATAAAAGTGAGTAATAATTTGTTAATGACCAAATAAACTGTTTTTCATTTGATGTTGATTGAGGGATTGAATTTTTGAGTGATATTTTCATTGTGCAGTTTATGGGCACACCCATGAGTTTGGGTTCAAGGCAGACTGGTTAAGGAGGAAGCAAGAACAAGAACAGTCTCTAGACTTAGCCTCCTTTATAACACTGTTCATTAAATTTTAAGACTAAGTACCACAATAGATGTCATTCAGAGCTACACCAGGCTGTGTTCCATGATTGAAAAGACTATGCTACAAACTCTATCACCCAATGCTAGTTGGTATACTCCACAGATAGCAAGGTGTAGACCTGGATGAACACAGCAGGCCAAGCAGCATTAGAGGAGCAGAAAGGCTGACGTTTCGGGCCTAGACCTTCTTCAGAAATATTTGGCCTGCTGTGTTCATCCAGGTCTACACCTTGTTATCTCAGATTCTCCAGCATCTGCAGTTCCTACTATCTCTGGTATACTCCACAGGCTGCTTGCATGTGTTTCTCTCAAAGCCAATGACCTTATCCCTTCTCTCAATCCCAATTACTCCACCCACAGAGGAGCAGCTCCATGACATCATTGTAAGATTGTTCCAGGGCCCTAAAGTCCTTACACAACAGGAATAGCTCCCCTGTTCTTGGGAATACTCTGACCTGCCATTGGATCTGTTAGATCCATCTGAAAGTCAGTTGTAGCCTTAGTTCAGTGTGTTACCTGAAAGATGACAGCTGCAACAATGTAGTGCTCTCTCAATATTTGGCTTTCATGTGCTTCAGCCATGGCAGTGTGACTTGAACCTGGAACCTTGTGGTTCAAAGGTGAATGCACTACCAGTTGAGCCACAGTTGATATCCCAAGCCTCTGCATGATCATAAGACCATAAGACATAAGAATAGAAGCAGATCATTTTGCCCATTGAGTCTGCTCTGCGATTCAATATGATCATGACTGATCTGATTATCCTCAAAATTATTTTCAAGCATTTTCGTCATCACCCTTGATTCCCTTACAGATGAAAAATATGCCTATCTCATCCTTGAATATATTTAAAAACCCAACCTCTGCAGCCCTCTGGGGTAAAGAGTTACACAAATGCTCTCCTGTCAGAAGGAGAAATTCCTCCTCATCTATCTTAAACGGTGACCGTTTACTCTGAGGTTATGTCCTCTGGCCATAGGCTCTACCAAAACAGAAAACCCCTCCACATCTATCCTATCAAACCCGCTAAGAATCTTATATGTTTCAATAAATCATCTCTCACTGTTTGAAATTCCAGTGTGTAAGGGCCCAACCTACTCAACCTTTCCTCACAAAATCCTTCCATACTGGGGATCAACTTAGTGAATCTTCTCAGGCCTGCTTCCAGTGCCAGTATATCTTACCTTAGATAAGTGGACAAAAACCCATTCACTGTATTCTTGGGGTATTCTGATTAGTGCCTGGTATAGTTTTAGCAAGGCTTCACTATTTTTATACTCCATTCCATTTGAAATGAAAGCCAGCATTCCAGTTGACTTCCCTCCGACCCGCTGAACTTGTTGCTGGCTTTTTGTGATTTATGCACGAGAAACCCAAATCCCTCTGTGATGCAGCTTTCTGCAGTGCGTCTCCATTTAAATAATATTTAGCTCCTCTATTCTTCCTGCCAAAGTGCTAGCTGCATAACGTTTTCCCAAACTGATTGCAGAACTGTCTTCCCTGATTGCTTCACTGTGATGCTGATTGCGTGATACTCTTCTCAGACTTGAGGTCTAGGACTACATGTTGTGGGACACACTAAAGTTTAGGGAAGGTTGAATAGAGTTGAATTGAATTGAATTAGCTTTATTATCACGAATTAGCTTTATAGCTGCAAAAGCACAGTGGAAAAAGGCCATTGTCTAAGGCCTTTCAGTCATCAGACACTGAGGGTTTTAGTGAATTTCTAATCCCTTGGTCTGAATGCTTGACATATATATTGTTAAACAAAAACTGTTCTTGTAAATGTAAGCTAAAGTGCTTGCTGTTCCTAATAAATGAAGATGAGTTGATTGCTCTATGTTACCTATTTTATCCCTCACACGTGAAATTATTGAGGCGGTGTCATGTAGATATGTAAATGTGGATAAACACTGGGGGTACTAAATATAAAGATAATGTTTACCCAGAATAAGAAATTCAGGAAGAAGTTCCTGGTGGGTGAAGTTGCACATGAGGATCATGATTGGCATCCTGAGGGTCGATCATGTCATCTGTTGCAGTTCTTTCAACGGCTGAACAAGCTGATTCTGGGCTGACACAGGTACCACATATGAAGTTATATCTTGCTGGTGGTGTAGAATGATGTCTGTAGATCATTGATTTGCAAACTTAGGTTCGGCTTTGGAGCTTCTGAAAGCACATGTTGGCATGGTGGCAAAAGCCTAGAAACAGTTGGTATTCACATTTGTACCAGTTGTCAGTAGATTTCCCACTTCTCATGGTGGAGGGCTTGCAAGTCCCTTCTGACAGCATTCTTGAATCAGAGCACCGAATACCTTACTGATCTCTCAGAGCAGGCTACCTCCAAGTTTAGCATAATCTGGGGACATGCCCAAGCCAGCGAAGCCCATTTTTGCTTAATGAGTACTGGTATGTTCAACATGTTTGCCCTAGAAAGGGCTGCTTCATTGATGTCCTTTACTTTCCATGTAATGTCCAGGATTGTACATTCATAACAATTCACTCAATGGAAAAGGAAGTTATCATAGATCATAGAATTCTTACAGTGTAGAAAGAGGCCCTTCAGCCCAACAAGTCCACGCTGACCCTCAGAGCATCCCACCCAGATCATCCTCCTAATCTACACAGCCCTGTACACTATCGGCAATTTAGCATGGCCAATCCACCTAACCTGCACATCTTTGGATTGTGGGAGGAAACCAGAGCACCTGGAGGGAACCCACACAGACATGGGGAGAATGTGCATACTCCACACAGACAGTTGCCCAAGGGTGGAATTGAACCCGGGTCCCTGGTGCTGTGAGGCAGCAGTGCTAACCACTGAGCCATCGTGCCATGCATCAAATAGGTTTTCAGCTTGATTTCCCTCACTTTTGACCAGTAGCATCATTGCCTGCAATGGGTCAGCCTTGAGACTAGTTTCTGCACTGCCTGCTCGGTGTGGCCATCTCCTTCATGGCTACCACATCTGGGCACTGCACTCAAATGGTGGTCCTATGAGTAGAATATACAGTTTGGAGCCACCTAACTTGTGTTATTGGAGTGATTAGTCCCTGCCCCATTTTGAGGCTGTTATTACTGCGTAACATTAAGCAAAGATACTCTAAGTTGATCCTATTCAGATCTAAACACAGCTGTTCGATTCACTTTGGTTCTTCTTTTCATCTGACTGATGACCTGCACTGTGCTCTTGGGCTCCTGCCTTGGAATTTTCCTCAAATGAGAATCTGTTGTGATAGAATATGTTCCTTCTAGGACTCAGTGAAAAACACCTATGCTCTACAAACCAGAAAACCAAAGGTCTCTGAAAAAAATGAGGATTTATTATTTGGGGTCCGGTTTTTACTAAATGTAAGGAAAGTTAAGGGATTTCTGAGAATCGTTATAAGATGCTAAACCTTTGTATTTATTCAAATACCTCTTAATGGTTTTCTTTATAGGTCTCAGTTTGCTGGAAAGCCAACCTCTGACAAAAAAAGGAAGCAGACCCGCTAAAAAGTAAGATGAAAATGTTAACTGTTGTCAGAAAGGCTGCTCGCAACTAATTATTTTGATTACTCATGGGTTCAGTAATATTTAACTATCGTAATAATATAACCCACAGTCATAAAGTTGGGCATTTTCTGTCCAACTGCATGATGTAATCTATCTCAAATCTGAGAAAACAATACATTGCCTTTATTTCAGCAGTAGATGACTCCTTCCATCAGGAAATGAAGAAGTATCAGTCTGGTGGCTAATGTTACTGGACCAGAAATTCAGAGGCTTGTAGTCCAGAGAATGTGCCTTCCAACTTTGTTTCTTGAGTTGAAACTCAATTCAAAAATAATGTGACTGCAGTCCCATACCAAAATAGTGGCAGTGTAACTGCTCCCTGAAGTGGCTTAACAATTCAATTGATTGTATCAAGTCACTTGGCAAAAAGCAATGCATGCTAGCCTTGCCAGTCATGCTCACACCCTGAAAATCAATGTGGAAGCAGGCTATTCAGTTCATTGATCCACACCAACCCTCTGAATAGTATTTCACTCCCCCACCCTTTCTCTGCACTTCCCATGGCTAATCCACTTAGCCTTCACATCCCTGGACGCTATGGGTAATTTAGCATGGCCAATCCATCTGACCTGCACATCTTTGGACTGTAGGAGGAATCCATTGCACCCAAAGGAAACTCACACAGACACGCGGTGAATGTGCAAACTCCACACAGACAGTCAGTCACCCGAGGGTGGAGTCAAACCTAGGTCCCTGACAACAACAACAACTGAGGAAGGGTCACCGGACCCAAAATTTTAACTCTGTTTTTTCCTTCACAGATGCTGCCAGACCTGCTGAGCTTTTCCAGCAACCTCTGTTTTTGTTCCTAGGTCCCTGATGCTGTGAGGCAGCAGTGCTAACTACTGAACCACCATGCCATCCCAGATGTAGGTGAGGGCAAGACTCAAGCAATATTAAACAGAAATCAGAATATATGTGGCAATTCTTCAGAAGCAAATGTCTTGAATATCTTAAATGTAGTAGAAAAGCATGGCATACTTGAGATGAAAATTGAAAATCTCAACATTTGAAATGAAAAAAACAGGGCAGCAGTTGTATACAACACATAATTAGCATATTAATGAATGTTCTGAGAAGTGGAACTTAAAAGCACACAGGGGAAGTATTCCAATTTCCCCTCACCAGATCAAATATATTTATATTACTCTATAATAAAAACAGAAATTGCTGGAGAACCTCAGAAGTTCTGGCAGCGTCTGTGGAGAGAAAGTGGAGTTTATGTTTTGGGTCCGGTGACCCGTCTTCAGGACTTATTGTATAAGTTGGTCTTCTTCAAGATAGTGCAGCAATAATCTGATGTTCCTACTTAACATAACCCTCAGTCAAAAATATTCCCATTGTTTTGTTTTAGGAGTTAGCTAACTTTTCATTGTTAGTTGTTTTGCAAATTGGATCACCACTGCTTTAATTATCCCTTCTGCTAAATAATTAAAATGATGGGTCTAAAGTTTCATCCACAGTCTCATTCAGGTGATATTCTGCTTGTAAAATGCTCTTCCTGAGTTGTTATAACAGGGGAGAAGCACTGTAAAACTTTGGTGGAACTTTACCGGTAGTTCATGCACCTTGGAAAGAACGGGTGGGAAACTTCTTGTTTTTCTATCGATTGTGTTAATTGAGTAATTACCTATTTCTTCTAAGTGAAAAATAATTGGTTCACAAACCCAGGCATATTTTAGAATGGAATTATTTAACTGAACTTTACCTGAGCTAATTTATTACGCAAGCAATGCTCAGCCAACCTTCCATCCATTGACTCCATCTATACTTCTCGTTGCCTTGGAAAGGCAGACAACATAATCATAGAGCCCTCCCACCCCGGTTATAATCTTTTCCAACCTTTTCCATCAGGCAGAAGATACAAAAGCTTAAACACACGTACCAACAGATTCAAGAACAGCTTCTTCTCTGCTGTTATTAGACATCTGAATGGATCTTTCAAATTTTAAATTTAATGTTGATCCTGTTGTTTGTGCACCTTCTCTGCAGCTGTAACATTGTATTCCTCACTCTGTTCTATTACCCTAATGTACTTTGTATGGTATGATCCACCTGTACTGCACACAAGACAAAATTTTTCACTGTGCCTACGTATGTGTGACAATAACAAATCAATTTAACGTTTAAGGTTTCTGCTTAAAATAGTGGCCCTCAGTGGTTAGCACTGCTGCCTCACAGCGCCAGGGTCTTGGGTTCAATTCCAGCGTCAGACGACTCTCTGTATAGAGTTTGCACATTCTCTCCATGTCTGCATGGATTTCTTCCCACAGTCCAAAGATGTGCATGTTAGGTGGATTGGCCATGCTAAATTGCCCCATAGTGTCCAGGGATGTGCAGGCTAGGTGGATTAGTGTTACAGGGATAGGGTAGGAGGATGAGTCTGAGTGGGATGTTCTTCAGAGGGTTGGTGTGGACTCAGTGGGCCAAAAGGCCTGCTTCCACACTGTAGGGATTCTATGAGTTGTTTATAAATCTATTTTCATAATAAGTTTGCAGTATGGGGGTATTGAGTAATTCTGAGTGTCTAGCCCTCTGTGGTTTTAGTCTCATGACACATTCTTTATTGATCTATTTCTAGCTCTCTGGATATTTCTTCAGCTCGCTGGCTGAAGACAAATAGCTTAATTGCAAAGCGACTCACTATAATGGATGCACTTGCACCTACTGCCGTAGCTCAAACTTACAAGTATGTCCCAATCTTAGACAAGTATATTGTGTCCAAAGTCTTTGATGAGGTGAGCTCTCTTCTTCCATTTAAATGACATTTCTGAATTATTGAGGAAAATACGAGGATTTATAGTCTGCATTGTTGATCTCTTTGACTTACCTCATGCCCAAGATCTCACACCCCAATGTCATACTCAGTTGCTAAAATGCATTTAATCTGGCCAACTGTTTTGGACCAGTGCTCAGATATTTTGCATAAAGCAGTGGTAGTTATTGGGAAATGTTCTGCAGCTTCGTTTATAAGTCTTAGTCCCTGCTTTTGGGAAGAGGCCAGGTTATGGAGGCCAGAAAAAGAAATCCCTGAAGAAGTGACTGATTACCTTTAATAAGACGTGACATTTTGATGTTTAATATCATAGTGTCATAGAGATCTACAGCACAGAAAGAGACCCTTTGGCCCATCAAGTCAAGGCATTTGGCACCCTTGCCTTCGTTGCTCAGTCCTTTGATTTTAGAAGTTGGGATTTCATGTTGAGATTGTACAGGGCGTTGGTGAGGCCTCTCCTGGAATACTGTGTCCAGTTCTGGCTGCCCAGTTATAGGAGGGATATTATTAAACTGGAGAGGGTTTAGAAGAGATTTACCAGAATGTTGCCGGTATGGAAGGTTTGAGTTATAAAGAAAGGCAGGATAGGCTGGGACCTTTTTCACTGGAGTATAGGAGGTTGAGAGGTGACTTTATACAAATTTATCAAATAATGAGGGGCATAGGTAGAGTTAATGGTAGTTGTCTTTTCCCTAGGATGGGGATTTCAAGACTAGGGGGCACATTTTTAAGGTGAGAGGAGAGAGATTTAGAACAGAGAGAAAAGACATGAAGAGCAGTTTTTTTTCCACAGAGGGTTGGTTTGCGTGTGGAATGAACTTCCTGAGGAAGTGGTAGATGTGGGTACGATTACAACATTTAAAAGACATTTGGATAAGTACATGATTAAGAAAGGTTTGGATGGCAATGCGTCAGGCGCAGGCAGGTGAGCCTAGTTTAGTTTGGGATTACGTTTGACATGGACTGGTTGGACCGAAGGGTCTGTTTCCATACTGTATGACTCAATGGCTCTATAACTATTCTAATACAATTTGCCAGTACTTTGCCCATAACCTTACGTTCCTAGTATGTTTTATGATGTAACCTGTGTGATTTGTATATACCATTTGCTGTCAGCTTTAGGTTTATGGCTTGTGTGCTAGCAAACTTCTGTCAGAAGTTAATAATTATAAGTATTTCCATAGCTACGGTGATTTCTTTTAAAACAGTTTTTGAGGCCAGGCTTTAGAGTGAATGGGTTTGTGTGTACCACTCATGGAGTTTTTAAAATTTATCCTAGATTGGTTTAGGATGCAGTAAGGTAAATAATGGGGCTTCAAGAAATTTCTGAAACTTGTTTGTTTTCAGCTTCAGGGAATCACCCATTTTACTTTGAGTTTTGGGCTGTTCTGTGAAGACCTTGGAATAGGACGGCTGTATAGACTAGTGCTCGTGAGAAGTGAGGAACATATAGTGAACTAGATTACCTTAGAGTGAGGAGTTGTTGTTAGTTCCTGATGACAAATATTGGGATAAAACCATGAAACGGTTACTTAAAGCAAATTACACTGAAACTGAGGTGGATAATAACTCCAATTGCTAATGGGAAGAAACCATCCACAGTTTCAGTTTAAAAGTTGAAATTATAATTGATTTTAGCCAACTGAGGAGCTGGAGTTTGAAATGTTTTCTTCAAGCTGTGGGTATTTCCCCTAATCAAAAAAAAAATCCATCCCTAACTATCTAATTGTAAGCATAATGCATGTTTACCTTGTTCATTCATAGGGCAATGATAAATGTCACCGTACACATTTGTAGTGATTGGAATGAGGACTGGGTGGATCTTATTGACCATGAGGTCCTTGATTGGAGCTTTTAACCTGGGCCAATCAGGGAGCCCTAGCTGACAGTTATAAACAGGAGATTCAGAAGGCCTCCTCATTCTAGGAACAGGCTCTGATATGGCTAATTAGAGCCTGTGTACTATGCACATGCAAATAAAGGGTGACTTGGTGGCAGGATACCAGCCTCTGTGCAGTTATTTCAACATTAATATATGAGTCTTAATTATGAGATAAAAGTTTGGGAGAGATGTTGTATAAGATTCTTTAAATGCTTCTGAAAGAGTCATTGACTGAGACTGCATTAAGATCACCTAAACCGAAGATGCCATACTGGCTTAGGTGGGGATACAGCATAACATCTTAGGATCTTGTAGAGTGAAGGCCTCATAGACTCATAGACGTTTACAGTACAGAGAAAGGACATTTGGTCCATCATGTCCTCCTATGTATACAGGTCTCCTCATTATCTTAATTGTAAGCTTAACAAGTTCTGAACTTATTTTTATCTGTGAATATTACTTTTAAAATAATAAGGTACCTTGGTGCATTTCAATCTGATATGAATTGTGTTTTAATTCAGATGTTACCATTAGCTCATGTGAGCAACAGCAAGAAGCAGATCACACTCATTAATCCATTGGGTGTGAACCTGAAACACTACAAAAAAAGACTCTTCCATGCTATCCAGTGCTATGAAAAGTAAGTAGTCAATTGCTGAGATGTCAGTCCTGCAGTAAATTAGTAACAAAATGAATGTAGTAAGGGCAGGTCACCTCAAGCAACTTTCTGTTCTCTAGACTGTTTCTGCGATTATATGTCTAATATTATTGTACCATGTATATTTGTCAATCATTGAATCAACAGTCAATCTAATTCACCGTTGACTTCTACAACTTCCATCAGATGTTGCGGTACTAAATAACGTGAGGACAGTTATAGATGGGCAAGAAATGCTGGCCTAGCTTGCAACAGCTACTTTCTGTGAATAAATTAAAAGGTGGGAATTTATTATTGAAAATGAAGAGATAATTCCTATCGTAAGATTAGCTCAGAGCTAAATATTATTCTCATATTTATGTTTTTTCTATTTCATTTATTTGTGTAATATAAATTTGTCTGTTAAGATATCTGGTTCTTTTAAATCTTTGCAATGTATTTTTAGTGGAATTTGCAATGAATTTCCTTTACGTTGCTTCATGGTTTGTAAGTACAATTTGGAGTCATCATGCTTTTTCTCCCTCTGAATTCTTTTCATCATCTTTTCTCACACTATTTCAGCCACATTGGACTCAGAATGTGATATTTTCCAGTTCTGATGTTGAATCACCGAGATTCAACGTGACCCAGCCCATGTTTACATAAAGTATGAACAGCTGGCCCTGCTGAATTTCCTGCTGTTGACAATTATTTATTATGGACTTCAAGCATCTAGCTTGATGCTAGGACCACATTAAAATGTGGCAGGAAGGGTGGGGTTAAGAAATCTGGCACGCAAACTGCCTTTATGTGGCTGAGGTTCTGATTTAAGGAGATTATCATGGTTTGCAGCCTTTCCAAAGTTTGTATGGAACAAAGGAAATGCTTGGTTTCTTTTAAAATAAAAGGCCCATAATTATGTTGATGTTATGTTGAGGTTGTACAGGACATTGGTGAGGCCTGTTCTGAAGTACTGTGCCCTGTTATAGGAAGGATATTATCAAGCTGGAGAGGGTTAAGGAGAGATTTACCAGGATGTTGCCAGGAATGGAAGGTTTGTGTTAAAGGGAGAGGCTGGGATTTTTTTCATTGAAGCATAGGGGGTTGAGAGGTGACTTTATAGAGATTTATAAAATAATGAGGGGTATAGATAAGGTGAATGCAGATGCCTTTCTCCTGGGGTGAGGAATTTCAAGCCTAAGGGACATATGTTTAAGGTGAGAAGAGAAAGATTTTAAAAAAGAAAATGGTTTGGGTGTGGAATGAACTTCCAGAGGAAGTGGTGGATGTGGGTACATGAATAAGAAATGTTTGGAGGCATATGGGCCAATTACAGGCAGGTGGGAATGGTTTAGTTTGGGATTATGGTCAGCATGGACTGGTTGGACCAAGGAGTCTGTTTCTGTGCTGTATGACTCTATGACTCTATAATTAAACTAATATGAAGCCAGACAGTCAAACAGGCTGTGGATGCACGATGGAACAGTGCAACACCATTGCCATTTGATAACTGTTGAAGTGGCGGTGTTGCTACTTGAGTTGACAGTTAGGGGTTGCTCTGTTTGCCCTGAGAGGGTATAAGTGTATTATGTCTGGAAAGAGGTGACAACAGGTACCAGCAATAGTCACACTGCTCAGGACGAGATATAGAAGAAAGTGACACACTTAACAAGGTATATAGAGATAAGTCTACCCAATGTACTGTTTAGCAAATTGATGGCTAGGTATGTATGGTACGTGCTAATTGTTGACCCATGCCAGCCCCAATGTCTAGCTCTTTAGTTGCTTCCTATTCATTCCCCTCCACCGTTAGAGCACGGGCACAAAGTGCAACTTGCTAACCTCAGCATATCGATATCATCAAAAGGGCAAAATACCTAAAACCTTTGTATGGTAACTTAGCTGCATGGCAGGTGGTCACAAAACATTCAAGTCGTTGAATTTATTTTGACTGGAGGAATGGTATTTCAAAGGATGTATGTTTGTGCTCTTCAAATAAACAAAATGTATGGATGAAGTTGACATAAGGAGACTATTTAATTTCTGACAATTAGTATAAGGCTTGGGAATGCAAGTATAAGTGTAACCAAAACAGAAAATGTGGGAAACATTGAACAGGCTGGGCAGCATGTGGAGAGAACAGACACTTCATCAGATTCTTCTTACAAATGAATTTGAATGTGTTTTCTACACCAGAGTGTGCGTGAAGCCTTTACTCTATTTTCAGATCTAGCTTGACAAAACACACTTATTGTTATCCTTCCAGTGACCTGACTCAATAAGTTGAAAATCCTTCTAGGTCCTTTGAACTTGCCAGAAATCTAGGGTCTTTCCTGTCATGAATTCATAGAATCCCTACAGTGTGGAAGCAGGCCATTTGGCCTATCGAGTCCACAACAACCCTTCGAAGAGCATCCCACTAAGACCTACACCCCTATCCAATCCCTGTAACCCTCATTTCCCATGGTCAATTCACCCAACCTGCACATCTCTGGACTGTAGGAGGAAACCCACAGAGACATGGGGAGAATGTGCAAACTCCACACAGACAGTCACCTGAGGTTGGAATTGAACTCAGGACCCTGACGCTGTGAGGCAATAACGCTAACCACTGAACCGTCGTGCCATCCAATTGTGCCAATTCTCCTCATCATGCATTTTTTTTGTTAGGCCATGATTATAAACATTGGTCTCAGGTATTGACTTGAGTCCTTGACTTTGAGTCCCACTATCCTGGGGATTTTGTTGCTTGACTATACGTGTGCCTGGGCCCATTCACCCAGCTTTTGTACTCCTCACACCGTCCAGGTCTTGCCCTTTCTGAATGTTTGGCCATTGTCGAGTTATTCCAAAGAACTCCTTGCCCTGCTGTTCATTTACTTGCAAGCTCCATGATTCCTGATGAGCCATTCTACTTGGTGACCCTGTCTGAATACCTCTCTGTCTGTCTATTTTTGAGTATATTCTGTTCTGAGTGCATGTAAGTGTTGCCCAGTAAAAATAACCAATTAGCACAGGCATGGTGATGTTGCTTCATGAATTTTAGCAGCAAATACCTAGATGCATCCCCAAGAGAAGTAAATGTATATCATGCTTAAATTTACTCAATAGACTTCTACCCACTAATCATGGAAAGGAAGCACTCCATATGATCACAAACACAGAAGGTTAAAGTACCACATAAACACAGTAAATATTTAGAGATCACAACCCCTTCTCAAAACAAAACAAAGAACTGCTGATGCTGAAAATCTGAAACAAAAATAGAAATAGCTTGAGAAACTCAGCAGTTCTGACAGCACCTGTAGAGAGAAAGCAGAGTTAACATTTTTCAGCTGGTGACCCTTTTCCCCCAAGATGTTGACTAGAGATCATTTTTAAATTTGTGAGTCAGAAATGAAATTAGCCACAGTAGGATTCCCAATTATCCACATCAAACCAGTAACTAAGTAATGGACCATTGCTGCTCTCAAGCAGCTTGAAACTCAACTGCTGGATTGCTTTAGGTAGTCTCACTCAATGAATTACCTGAGGCCAAGATAAAAACTGCAGATCCTGTAACCCATCAAGTAAAACAAATTTTAATGTGAAAGGGCAAAGATTTAAAAGGGACCGAAGGGGCAACATTTTCAAGCAGAGGATGGTGTGTGTGTGCCAGAGGAAGTAGTGGAGGCTGGTACAATTCCAACATTTAAAAGGCACCTGGATTGGTATATGAATAGGAAGGGCTTAGAGGAATATGGACCAAATGCTGGCAGATGGGACTAGATTTATTTAGGATATCTGGTTGGCATGGATGAGTTGGACTGAAGGGCCTGTTTCTACGTTGTATATCTCTATGACCCCATGACTCTATCTAAAGGTTGAATATGAAAATTACACATTGCAGGATGGTGAAGCATCATTTAAATCAGCTTGAACTATCACAGTGTGTGTAATGTGGGGTGTAACTCATGGTCTCTTTTCTGAAAGTCGGTATATCCATTCTTTTTGATAACGTTGCCTTTTAAAAATGATAACCCTTGTTTCTATTAATGCGGCAGTAAAGTTTGTAGCAGAAGATATCTAATTATTTAAATAATGAGAGGCTGAGCATTCCCTGACATTTTAAAATTTAATTGCATGCTTTTCACTGCAACATAATACTTTTAATAATGCTGCTCTTAGGAAACTTCTGTTCTCGGTTTACTGTAATTGCAATGATGTAAATTTCTTCTCCTGGCTTACTGTACCTTGAAAAATCTTAAAAGTAACCTTTCAAAACATAATTATGACTTAACTAGAAATACTGGCCACTGAATATTTCCCCACTGGATTTCCTGACTTGGCTACACATAATAACCAGAGGAAAACATACTTAGTTATTAAATAATTTGGTTAAATTTCACCATTTTAATTGCTTTCTGGCAAACTAATGTTTGGAACATAATACACAGAGTTCCACAAAAGCCTGAACAACTATTTTGTAGCATTGTTATCCAGGTTTTTGGCCCCTGAGGATCTGTGAATTAAAAATGAGTGCATGGTCTCAATGCTGTATATAAAGGCATTAGATGACTCTTCCATCTTCTCCATCATTAGTAGGCAACCAATGCACTTAAAGAGAAGCTCTCTGGGCATCAGTGAATGTTGGTCTTTAAGGTCTTCATCCATGCTCTCTGCATCGTGGTTTGAGACAGAGCTCCCTGTCCGGAGCTACTTCATGGGCAGTGCTATCCTCTGACTTGCCCAGGTTGGATGTGGCTGGACTCTTCCACTCTGCCGTCTGCCCTATATATGTGGCGTCAGTGTCTGAGCTGCCTCTTGCTAATGAAAAGTAGATTACACTTCCTTATCTTCAGTTCTGCTATCCTCTTGCTCTGCTCGCTCAGTTGGATGAGGAACTCCTGGACCTGAAATGTTCGAAAGGGACAAAGAATAGCATTTAGCTGCATATTGCTGATTTAAAAACCATTTATTGCTGTACCACTGCTTAAATAAAATCTCCAACTAAAATTGAAAATAGAAGGATCTTTTTTGTTTAAAGGTTTAATGACAAAAGTAAGCACAGAATTCATCAGAGAGGTAAAACAGTCCCAGTGTTTTAAGGAAGACAATGGACAAAACTTGCAATTTCAGCAGAATGGGAAGTAGCTTTGGAGTTGTTCCACCTTCACCCTCAGCAGTAGGACTTCAGTCTGTCTCTGGAGGAAGTTGTGCCCTCGGGAACTGAATGCCTGGAAGCTCCTTTACATCTGGCTGTGCCAGAGCTCATTAGCAGGTGCTACCACAACTGTAGAAAGGACCATGAGGGGGATCATGTCAGTTCCTGAATGATAAGTCCTTTAGAGCGCAGAGTGAGGAAGGAAGGGGCTGTGTGAAATTTTAGGGGAAAGTGTCCAAAGTAGATGCATGGTGTTGTATAAGGGTCTGAAATGTGCTTCAAGTGCCATCCACTATGATGATGTCCTATGGACCTGGAGGAAGGACAACTTAGTATCACGGCTGAGTAAGACCGACCATGTAGGTACTCCTCAGGGTCTCTGCAACGATATTGGTCACATCCGTGTAAATTGTAGATAGTAGATAAACTGCAATAAACTACATCTGGTTTACAACAAGAGACTCTTCTCTTTAGACCAGCAAGTGGTTTTCCTTTACCAAACCACACAAGTAAACCCTTTAGATCCTGACATTAAGAGAGGATGGTGGTAGCAAGACCACCCCATGGTGCACAACACTGCAAATAGTCTCATACACTGTGGTACTCAGCTGTGAGGACTGGGCACCCACATAGTTAGGTGCACCCCATCCTTCATCTTATTGCCTATGCCATTTAAAAATGGCTTGTTCCCTCCCACCCACCCACTCACACCACATGTATTGTGTGTGTCATTCAGATCAATATGGTTGTCATCAACCTAAATGACCCTTCATTATTTATTTACAAATGGCAGCAGGCACCAATTTCAGTGCCCACCCACCTCATGCATTATGGTGCTAACCTCGGGAATGGGTGTGAACGTGTTAGGCCAGATACCCCACTTATTCTATGTGCCCCACATTCCACTGAAACTCTGCCCAGTGAGGCTGTGTAACATCCAAACCTAAGTTTATGTCTTTTGTGCGTTGGAATTGCTTACGATAATTATTTTGTACATGCTCATATACAAGAATGTAGCTCATACGTAACTTATCGATGACTTTACTGGTGAGTTTTGTAGTGTGACCCACTTATGGGATATGTCGGAATCTGAGCAGTGATATATAATTTACACCTGTAACAGCTTATATTTGTATAACACCTTATGGTGCCATTATTTACTGAAACCTTATTGTTCCAGAATCCTCTGTTGCATTTGCAAGCGAATTAACATTGGGCTTCAAACAATATCATTTGTTCACCTCAATGCAAAAACGTATTATTTTTGATGACATCGACATTAAGACAAGAGGTTCCAAGTTTGTTATTAGTTAATAATTTTTAACACTTCTCTCTCTTTTGCAAGGCGCCTAAATTTAATTGTATGGAAAGCATTATCTCAGGAAGAGCGAGATAAGTAAGTAACAATATTCTTTATAAATCAGTGCTTTTGCATTTTTGCTGCAGTTGCAATTAGATTTTGATTATTACTTTCTTCTGTGTGCATTCATTTTGGACAAGGTTCAACAGTGATAAACCAATCTCATTTGGAGACCATAGAGAGGCTTTACTGCAGGCATTGGATAGAATGGGTTGGCCTATTGCCCAGGAAGATATTACATTATTGGAAGATGAAATCCAGACTGGTTATACATATAAACAACAGGCCTCAGATCTCCAGAAGGCTGCTGAAGAAACGGTATGTAAATCTTCTGCAGGACTTCTGAGCAACAATTGTAACTGTAACTGGAAACTGATCTGGGTCCAAAGGATCTCAAGTATTTCACTTCATGAAGCATCAGTTACTAATTCTTGTAAAGAATTGTCTTTGAAGTCTAAAATTGTGATGAAGTACAACACAGTCCTTCTCCCGATTTCTGTATCCACATCATTTCTCTCAAATGTAAGCACAGACACAAAGTGTTTATTTAGAAATCTACCTACATTCTCCGGCTCCACGTACAAATGACCCCTATTGTCCTTAATGGCCCTACTCTTTCCTGAATTACCTATTAGCCTATTGTACTTGCAAAATAATTTAGGATTTTTCTTTATTTTACCTGCCATTATTCTTCCAATTCCCTTTTTGCTCTCCTGATTTCCTGTTCTGATGAAGGGTGACTGGACCTGAAATGTTAACTCTGATCTTTTTCTTCACAGATGCTGCCAGACCTGCTGAGCTTTTCTAGGAACCTCTGTTGTAGTTCTCTCAGGTTTCTGCTGCTTTTGTGATCAAGGAGATCTGACTGAGATCAGAAGCATGTTCAGCTTTTTCTCCTGTCAAGTCTCCTAAGAATTTTGCATGATTCAATAAAGTTGCCTCTCATTCTTCTAAATTCCAGTGAGTACAGGCCCAATCTACTCAACCGCTCCTAATAAGAAAATACCTGGGACTCACTTAGTAAACTTTGTCTGGACCGTCTCCAATGCTAGTATACTTTCATTAGGTAAAGGGATCTCAACTGTTCACAGTATTCTGAGTGTGGTTTAACATGTGCCTTGTATAGTTTTAGCAAGCATTTCCTATTTCTGTACTCCATTCCATTAGAAATAAAGGCCTGCATTCCATTTGTCTTTCCTATCACCGGCTGAACTTATGTGACAGCTTTTAGTGATTTACATGTGAGGACTTCAAAATTCCTCCATGCTGCAGCTTTCTCATGTCTTTATCCATGTAAATGATATTCAGCTCCCGTATTCCTGCCAAAGTGCATAACCTTACATTTTCCCACATTATATTCCATCTGCCAAGTTGCCATCCACTTGCTTAACCTGTCTGTATCCCTCTGCAACAACAAGGTGCAGAGCTGGATGAACACAGCAGGCCAAGCAGCATCATAGGAGCAGAAAGGCTGACGTTTCGGGCCTGGACCCTTCATCTGCTGACTCTTTATGTCATCCTCACTACTCACCTTCCCACCTTTTTGTGGTCCACCTTTCTTCCTTTGCTCTAAGATTTTGGAGTAGATTTGTAGCTTGGGTTGTGGGTGTTGAGGTCGGTTGGCTCGCCGAGCTGATTTCTTGTATCGCAGACGTTTCGTTACCATGCTGGGTAACATCCTCAATGCAGCCTCCGATGAAGCGTCAGTGTGTTTTCTCGCCTGGTTTTTCTACCTTTGCCTTCTGCAATCATTACCTGGTCTAGCCAACATGTGACTCCAGACCCACAGCAATGCGATTGATGCTTTAATGCCCTCTGGGCAGTTAGCAATGGACAATAAATGGTGGCCTGGCCAGAAACTGCCCTCATCCCATGAACAAATGAAAAATGTCTCTTCACGTTGTTCCTTACATAGCGGTTGACATCACTTCCAGTTTTGTTTTTCAGTGGTTTACAAATCTTCTCAAACTACTGAGAAACAGAACTGGAAGCAATGGCAACCGCCCCAGCAAACCGAGGCATATAAATAACGAGGGGGACAGAACACCAACGCTTCACCAGAGGCGCACTGACAATGTTACCTAGCAGGGTGAAGAAATGTCTGCAAGCAAACACATCAGCTCAGCGAGCAAGTCTACAACCTCATCCACAACCCAAGCTACAAATCTTCTCAAAAACTTTAAATTTCTTATTATCCAATCTGGCCTTATTTGACCCTTATTCAGCTTTGGAGGGCTAAGCATTGATTACATTTTACAAGAGCTGTCATCATTCTGTTTTATCTCCACCTCCTTCATCAGCTTATTATTTGTTATGCTTTGCTGCATATACACTCTGGTCCTTCATGTAAGCCTGGTATCCCAAGTTCATCCTATGTCATTATGGTCTCCAGGGCAGTTATTTAAACTGTCATGATATGCTTATCCTACATTCCTCAACCTGAACAATTCTCATGGCTGGATAGAGTCTTGTGCATGGTCTGTGTACAGGTTCTTTGCCTCATTCATGGTGGCCAACTCCATTGGATGCATTTTACATCTTAGACCTCGGGGATCAGCTCCTTGCATTATGGCTACATTGTTCCTCTTGGTTACATTGCAAAATGTACAATTTGATTGTCATCTGTTTAATTCAGAAGACATAAAATTACTTTGATCTGTTGAATATTTGATAACTTGAGGACAAGTCTTCCTATAAAGCCCGTGGTAAATGCACAATATTGGTAATGACCTTCTTTATGAGTGACTTTAATTCATGGGGACGTCTTCCTGAATGCCGTTCAACCTGATCCAGTGAGGAATGAATTTTATAGTTGACTGCAAACAAGAAATCCACTGTATGCATCTTATTCATTATTGTCACTGAGGCGTATGAACCTGAAAATGTAATGGTAAAAATAGTTGTGTTGAAGACATGCTTATTTCATCTCTTCCTCAAATTATAAAGATGGTAGGTCATTCCTTTGTAAAATCATTTTGTTTTTGCCTTAGGATTTCTACTTCTACATTATCCTTTACAGGAGTCGGAATACATGCATCATGTTCCCAGGGACCATAGTCACAGCGTACAGAAAGCCACAAATCAGGCCGGAAGAAGATTGGACACTCTCAGAGGTCAGAGGGTAATTGCAAGGTCAGAAGTTGATGGTTTTTATTACCCAGGTGAGTTGAATGTCTGGCGTTTGCTTTGATTACCAAGACCCTAACATAAACCTGTTTCAAAATTTAAAGATTGCCATGTAGGTTACTGGAAGGCTTAAGATTGTTCATTAAAGCTACTTGTACTGAAAAATGTTCTTGTCCCTGAGAAATGGAGGAGGAGTAATTTCTATTGAAATGTAAAGTATGTTCCCTGACCTTTATGATAATCAATTGGAAGTGATCCAGTGAGTATTTGTACTTGAAATCATGACAACTCAGTTCAGAATTTTCTCAGGTATTTGGTCTCTTTTGCAAAGTGTGCATGTATCTCTCCATCACATTGAAATAATAGAGATCCACTAGGCAATAATTGTACTTTACTTTTAATAAAAGCAATAGATCCAACACTTTGCAGTTTAGAAATGCTATAACTCTCTCTAACTGCTATATTCTTATTATTTAACCTTCTTCTCAAAAAGTACTCAATGTGGTGGGTAGCCATGAAATGCGTGCGGAAGATGTGCAGGGAACTAATGCATACGGGAGCGGGGAGAAAAGATTTCTGTTCTTATCCACAGTGGACATCAGCAACACTCGGAAAAAAATCAGGTCCTATAGCCCTCAGTTCAAAACTGTGGCTACAAAAGCAGGTCAAAGATTGGGAATTCTGTGGCAACTGACTTGTCTCTTGACTTGCCAAGCTCTCCCTATGTACAAGATGTACGTCAGGAATATGATGAATACTGTCTACTGGATGAATGTGCTGCCAATGCTACTGAAGACCTTTGCCACCCTATATGCTGTCTATAATAGTCACTCACTGCATCATCTTTGGCAGCAATGTGTTACATGTACCTTGGTAACCATGACAACTTGGGAAGGCTCCTTTGACAACCACAATCTCTTTCACAACCACAGCCTCTACCACCTAGATGAAGTGGAGCAGATGCATGGGAACACCAATAATCTGCAAGTTTCTGTCCAATTCACACAGCATATTAAGTTGGAGCTACATCACTGTTCCGTCATTGACACTGGGTCAAAGACCTGGAGCTCCCTTTCAATCTGCATTGTGGGTACATCTACAACACATGGATTGCAGTTCCATATCAATGTGATTATCTCTTAATCTCTCTCTGAAGTGACCTAGTAGACATGCATTAATATCAAACCATTCCATTAAACAACAAAAACAAAAAGTCCCAAGCTAGCAGCACCGTAGAGCACTGTCAGATCATGGCTTGTGGCAGTTTTATTTTTCTTCATTCATGGGATGTGGGTGTTGCTGGCTGGGCCAGCAATTATTGCCCATCCATTGTTGTCCTTGAGAAGGTGGTGGTGAGCTGCTTAAGTGAACTGCAGCAATACATTTGCTGTAGGTAGACCTGTAATGCGATTAGGGAGGGAGTTCCAGAATTTTGACCCAGCATCACTGAAGCAATGGCAATGCATTTCCAAATCAGGATGGTATGTAGCTTAGAGAGGAACTTGCAGATGGTGGTGTTCCCATGATTCTGTTGCCCTTGTCTTTCTGGACGGAAGTGATTGTGGGCTTGGAAGGTGCTATCTAAGGAGCCTTGATGAATTTCTGCAGTGCATCTTGTAGATGGTACTCACTATTGATACTGAGTGGTGGAGGGAGTGGATGCTTGTGGATGAGGTGCCAATCAAGTGGGCTGCTTTGTCCTGGATGGTGTCAAGCTTCTTAAGTGTTGGCGCTACACTCATCTGGTCAATATGTGATGGTTAGGTTCTCTTGTGTTGGAGATGGTCATGGCCTGGCACGTTTATGGCATGAAAGTTATGTGCTATGTGTTAGCCCACACCTGGATATCATCCAGGTCTTGCTGCATTTGGAAATGGAGTGCTTCAGTATCTGTGAAGTCGTGAATGCTGCTGAACATCGTCACTTCTGGTTTTATGATGGAGGGGTGGTCATTGATGAAGCAACTGAAGATGACTTGGCCAAGGACATTACCCTGAGGAACTCCTGCAGAGATACCCTGGAAATGAGATCACTGAATGAACCACAATGATCTTCCTATGTGCCAGGTATGACTCCAGCCAATGCAGAGTTTTCCCCCAATTTCCATTGACTCCAGTTTTTGCAGGACTCCTGAATGCCACAGTGCAGTCTTGATATCAACGGCAGTCACTCTCACTTCAGCTCGGCGATTCAGCTGTACTGTCTTGTGCCTCTATTGATGGATCCAGAGGTACTGTGTGCTTTATTTGCTGCTCTCTCTACCTGTCCTGCTACTTTTGGTGGTCCATGCACATGTACACAAAACGACAATCTCTACTAATGGACGTAATGATGCATGTGCAGAATGACATTAGATGTTAAAATAATTATCTTCCCTTTTCAGTTACATTGCAAATCTACTCAATGATGCTGTTGTTTATAATATGGGAGAATTATGCCTCAGATTTTCTTTGTTACATCTCTGCTGTTCTCAGGAATTGTGACTAAGTGTGCTAGTGCAAAGAAAGCCATAATTGTTTTCGCTAAAGGAGACACCCAGATTACACCAACTAGATTTTTGATTTGTGTTGGAGGAGCTTCATCCTGTCCTTCATTGAAAGTAAGTGAACTATGAGATTAAGATAGAGATCCTACAGACATCTAGTTTTAAATGTGAATTATTGGCTGCAGGATGTTTCCTATATACATCTTCCATCTTAAAAGGCCTGTGGGCTAATAATATCTAGGTACTGAGCCTGTTACATATTCCCAAGGCATTCCTGGCAGGAATAACACGAGTTAGGTCAAGCTTGCTGTATGGGACATCGAACACTACTGCAGGGGATTTATAGCCTCGCAGCTATAGTTTAGTTTAAAGGCTGAAATATTTGGGAAGTAAAAGCTTTAGGGAATTTGGAGCATGGAGCAGGGGATTAGCAGAGCACACAGTTTGATGAAGTCTTTGTAGAAGTGCTATAAGAGGAAGGGGTGCAGGCACTATGGCAAGAGCCACTGAGTGCATTAGAGCTGGGAGAGCTATACATCAGCTCAATCCCAGTGATATTGATGGTTCTGTGGGGCTGAGGTATGCACCAGGCAGTTGCTGGTTTCTGTCTTAAAGGCTTCAGAAGCTAATGCTTAAGGTGGATCCTTCTGCCTTCTTCCTCCTGGCTTAAATCACACAAAAAGCAAAAATATCATGTCTGCTAACTGGGACGTAGGAATTCAGTTTTTTTGTTTCCATGATCCCTGACTTTGTGCAACAAAGTGCTGTCGACTTTAATAAAAAGAAACGGGGAAGTATCTGAAGGATCCAACAGTGGGATAAAGAAGCTGATTGTACAGACTGGCTTTAATGTATTCTGTCACCACTGGAGAAGTGCAGCCATGCCCACTGAATTGCAGGAGGGATTTCCCTTAGTTTCCACCTCCTAGGTTAGGATAGAAGGGTCTGACATGGGATTCCTGGCCACTGGCAGTGGGCAGACGTTCCCATTAAGCTTGTTAATCAACTGATGGACTGTGTTATCCCTGATCCCAGTGCAGTTCAGTGGTGGTTCAGGGATTAATAGGGAGTTGCATTGGCTTTCATACACCTTCCAAAGCCTTCCCCAGAAAATCATCTTGGGTTTTCCATTGGCCTGTCAGGGATCCCCTCATTCTCAGGTACTCTGTACCCACCTGAAGGAGCCTGCATTGGAATGGGGGAAGGCAGATTGGTTACTGAAATCCACCCCTGACTTTGAATGCCTGCACCTCCCACCCCCTCCCTCACACCCTGAGAGCTCCATCTGACCCTCACTTACCTCTGTCCTGGGGGCTCATTGATGGACCTTTGGTGGGCACATTGCTGACTGCTTTAACTGCTCTTGGTTTCCCTGAAGGCAGTGAGCAGCAGACTTTAGGAAAGTGGCTAGTCTAATTGGCACGTCACCCATTCTGTGCCTTTTTTACAACCTTTATCCAAAATAATGCTTTTTTTGAATCATATAGCACAGAAAGAAGCTATATGGCCATTATGTCCATGTTGATTCCTTGAAATGATTATTGAGTTTGTCTCACTTTGACCCTATAGCATTGCTATTTTTTCTTTTGCAATTATACATCTAATTCCCTTACGAAAGCTCCTGTTGTATCTGCTTCCACCATTCCTTCAGATAGTGTATTCCAGACCATAATACTGTCATAGGACATTAAGAATTCACATCTTCCTTCTGATTCCTTCGTTAATTATCTTAAATTATGGTTATCAGATACTGATTTTTCTGCTAGTGGAAACAGACTTTCCTTAATTATTCTGTTGAAAGTATCTTTAGCAAAAAAACAAATCAGTGTTATTTAATTTTGTGAAAATCTTCAACCTTTATAAATTCAGCTTTTATTTCCGGTACTAATTAATCCTAAAGTAGTTCTTTACTCTGGAGACTAAACCAAAATGTACCAAAAATCAATTATTGTGTAGGTAGAAGCAGTTTCTTTTAATCTGTAGCCTTGTTTGAATTTAGTATATTTATACATGAATACTTATTATCCAAAATATTTTTGTTTACATCCCCATTTGCTGTGTCTGTTTTCCATATGTCTTCTTGCAATGTTAGGAAGTTTATTTACTTTAAATGTGCTACACAAATGTCAGTCATTCTTTTGAAGATCTGTATCTTGTCTCTTCCCAGCTTTCCATTTTCTCAAATTAAAATATGGGCCCAGACTAAACCCAAAGGCTACATCTTTAAAAAGGGCCTCTTCATCTTGTGCACATGTCTTCAAAGAAGAGAAATATCTGGAACTGAAGCACTCATCATCAGAGTCTAGCTGAGTTGCAGTGGATGTGCAACACATATGACTAATGTTAAAATTGCCCAGGCAGCCACACATTGACAACTTGCACTTAATTAGCATCCGTGAGCCAGGTCAAGATTCAGGCTGAAGGATTACTTGAAGGCAAACCTCAGGAAATTTGGCATGTCCGCTACAAACAAAGAAAAATACATTAGAAAGAACTACCTGGGGAGCAATCTCAAGTGGTGGTATTTATTTCTTCAAATAACAAAGATTACAGGCAATTAAGGATAAAAGACAAACTAGAGAAACTGAGCAGTCCTAGTTCATCCTTGGCCCCCTGGGGGAAAGCCATGCAGGCCTGGAATCAAGCTTCAAAACCCTCATTAGATTGTGCAACAGTTGACTGTGCACCTGCAAGAAATGGCCATTTTTGATAAGGAAGATTGATTCAAAAAGACTGAGCTTTACTTAAACCTGGTTTGACTGGCTTAATTTTAAATAGAATAATTTCATTGAATAGATTGCGCTGACTTACATTTGTGAACTGATTTTACTTTAAAAATCTGATTTGTGTTGGTCATACAAGCCTCCAGAGATTTAAGTAGAATTTCCCTGTACAGTAAGCACTTGATGCACCCTAGCATGGTTGTGTTTAATCTAGACCCGTATTTTTCACAGATATGTCTTTAAAAATGACCTTTTTCATGTTATGTGCGTATTTGCCTGTCTTCTACCTTTGACACCATCTAACTTCAGGTTTTCTCCACTGTTGTTCGGGTAACTGGGACTTCTCTCACCTGGTTCCATTTAATTGTAGAGAATCACCTGCAGTGGTTTGTCTTCCCACTGTCACATTACCTCTGGCATTCCCAAGGATTAATCCTCAGTCTCCTCCTGTTTCTCATTTTACACGTTGTCCCTCTGGGACAGCATCCAGAAACCCAATTGCATTACTTTCAGCTGCCCATTGACCAGTTAGCTCCACTTCCCTACCACCTCCCTCAACTCATCTACTGTTGCTAAATTATCAGACTCCTTGAGCAACAACCAGTGTCGGATGAGCAGAAATTTGGAAGAGTAAAGCCATTGTTTTCAGTCCTCATTCAGTTCCCTAGTGTCCAGCTCCATCCTTCTCCCTGACAACTGAATTAGATCGTTTGCAACCTTGTTGTCATATTTGACTCTAAGATGTATTTCTGAGTACAACATTCATATCTTTATGAGACTGCCTATTTCCACCTCTATAATACTATCAATTTCTGCCCTGCCCTAGCGCATGACCTACTGAAGCCCTCATCCTTACTTTAGTTATTTCTACTCTTGGTTATTCCAATGCACCCATCTCTGGCTTGCTACATTCTAGCCTTATTTCTGGAATGTCCCCCTTCCTAAACCTTTCTAATTCTCCACTTTACCTTCTTCCTCTAAGTCACTCCTTAAACTCTACCACTTTGAGCAAACCTTCGATTATCACTTTATGTGGTTTGGTGTTAAATTTTATTTTTTAATGTGAAGCACGTAAGATGTTTTATAATGTTAAAGTCGCTGTGTAACTCTTAAGTTGTTGCAATTGTTACTATCACATTTTTCGATATAATTACATGATGATTTATTTTTGAAGGTTAATTGGATATTATTTAATAATTTCCAGGTGGGAGACTTTGTTTTGGTTCGTAGTGATGCAGAGGCTGGAAATGATTGTTATTTACCAGGGGTTGTCATAGCAACCCCAAACAGAGCAGCATCGGATGATAAATTTTATACAGTTTTGAAATATAATAATAGAAAGGTGAGTAGGTTTACATGATTTAAAGTGTCTTTACCCCTCTCAATTAATTAATGTTTACAAGTATTTCAGTAAATGTAATTTAGGTTACTGTTGATCAAACTATAAATGAACCAGATAAGCATTGGGAGCAAAAACAAAGTTGCTGGAAAAGCTCAGCAGGTCTGGCAACATCTGTGAAGGAGAAAACAGAGTTAGCGTTTTGGGTCCGATGACCCTTCCGCAGAAGCATTGGGAGCATCCTTGTCAAAAACTCAATATTTTTCATTCTTGATTCTACCCGTCCCTCGTTGCTGTCAAAGGTTAAACAAAATTGTTCAGAATCTCTGCATTATACTTGACGCTGACTTGAGCTTTTACCTCATTCTTTTCTATCTCAGAGAACAGGGTGCTTAATACAAAAATTCAGGCAAATGTTAAGGGGGGAAGAATGGAAAGTCGACTAAGGGGCAGTAAACAAAGAAAATGAAATCATACTGTCTCAGAATGGAAAAGGATTAAGAATGGCGCCACAGAAGCTAGTGCTGAGAGACCCCATGAATAGGTAATTTGCACTTGAGAGACTGCTGAATTTTTGTGACGAATGAGCAGTGTCACTGCCTCTGAACTGGAAGCTCAGGGTTCCCAGCTCAGATCTGATGGTTTAGGAAGTTACCTTCATGCTGCAGCCAAACAGAGAACTTATCAATCCTTTCAATGAATGACAATGGTAGATGGTAAGAGCAAAAGAGATTCCTGGTCAACCGTATATGGAGGAAACTTTGGAGCCTCTCCCATCACTAGTCATAGCTCCAGGTTACAATATGCATGTAAAAGTGCATTGGTGCCACAGCAACTTAGAATGCCTGAGTGAAACTGGACACACCAAAGAGCACAGACTTTTCCAAAATACCAATGATACAAAAGCAGAAGATTTGGCAAACAGTGAGGAGATTCGCCAGAATAATACCTATTTCTGCCTGAGCAGAGATTAATTAGATGTTATAAATTATGAAATGTATTGATAGAGTGAAGGGGGAACAATTATTTCCTCTGGTTGAGGAATCAGGAACATAGTACCATCAACTTAAAACTGTGAGTAAAAGAGTAGTAAGAAATTGGAGAAATATGTTGGAGCCATGGGAATGCTTGAGACAAAGAAGGTTATAACTGGTGAGAGAAGGCTGTATAAACATGGATGGAGAGTGAGGCATTGGGATCCTTTTGGACTGCTCTTATAAAGGTCTATCATGGACAGAATCATTTGTCTTTTGTTTGCAGATTTGTTCATAGGATGTGGGTGTTGCTGGTAGGCCAGCATTTATTGGCCAATCCCTTATTGCGAAGGAGGTGTTAAGATGTCTTCTTGAATCACGGTGGTCAATGAGGTGTAGGAATGGCCACAGTGCTGTCAAGGAGGGAATATGAAGGGAGTTCCAGGATTTGACCCGATAACAGTGAAGAAATGCAGTATTGGTCAAATCAGCGTGGTGTGTGGTTTCGAGGGAACTTGAAGATGGTGGTGTTCCCATGCTTTTGTCTTTTCAGATGTTAGAGGTCATGGGTTTGGAAGGTTCTGTCAATAAAAGATGAAAATCAGAATAAAACTTCTAACATGTTTCTTTTATAGGCCGCTTAAATTAATGCCTTGTTCATGAAATGCTTGATTTTTATCTTCACCATCTGGCTGGTACTCTAATAGAGCAGATCTTTATAGAATTCATCTGATTTTTATTCCAAGAAGATATGCCTCCATGGATGATTCACTTACAAGCGTGTATAACATTAAAAGAAAGTAAATCAGCACCCCTCAAAATTACTGGAGCCTATCCTATCAATCACATTTGTAGATCATAGAGATATAAGTGAACAATAGACACCTACAATGTAACCTGAAATAAGCTGTTCTGGATAAAAGCCGTGAAAATCTTTAGATTCTGACTTTATTTTGTGCTTAAAACAGTGAAAGAAATAGAAAGTATTTAGAAATCCTTTTCAGATTTTATCCCTTAGATGCACTTTTCATTCTGAAGTAAAATACTTTTCTGAAAATTGAATTGGATGCTGTTGGATCAATTGCATATAACTTCATGAGGCAATTGCTCCATTTTATGTGTGCTATATTTAGTGATAATCATGTCAAGGTAATGACACTTCATAGCACAGACATAGTTTGATGATACATTATATGAAATATGCATTTAGCTCCACCAGTATTGTTGCACTACAATTTCAAATTAGGTCATGTGGAAAGACAAATAATAATTCATGAATGGAGCTGCTCACGCAGGCTGTCTCAGATATGAGCTAATGTTGTAATAACCTTATACCTGACCACTTTGATCTCTGTGTTTACAAGCTTATTTGAATCCCCATGAGGAGATTTGTATTTATCTAAGCATTTCAGATGCTGTAACTGAACATGTCACTGGTTTTACCCATGACACAACTGGTATTAAATCTATTGGGCTGAATTAAAATCAACTGGGATTACCATAATGCTGCAAAATTATATGATGTTTTTATCTCATTTCATCTTTGCTTTATAGAATGATTTCAGAAAAGTTGCCATCTGGTTTATTTGTGCTGTCGTTTCAGTGACAGGGACTTAGCTCAGCTGGTTGACCAGCTGCTTTGTGATGCATGAGTGGTGCTCACACCAGCTTAGGTTACTCCTTCACAACCTGTCCCCTTGCCTAATATGTGGTGACTACCACCAGTTGTCAGTCTATACAGAGAGAGAATGGCCTGGTAGAACTATAGTGACTTTACCTTTTATTTTCAGTAATGATCATTATGGCTTCACAGTTGGATCATGCTGCACCTGAAAAGATGCCTAACGCCCAGATTTTTGAAGAGTTGGAATGAGGTGGAATGGGAGGTGATGGTCTGGTGGTCTTATCAGAAAACTATTAATCCAGAGACAGATGCTGGAATCCAAGGTAGACTAACAGGAGGCTTGAAAAACACATTAGACCAGGCAGCATCTGGAGGAAAGGAGCAGCCAACGTTTCGGGTATTGCCGTGCTTCAAAATGCCCATGTCATCCCCCTCTTTGTGCCTTTCTCAAAGCTTCTGCAGCCTGTGTCCAATATTAGCATCAGGCAGGGGGCAGGAAGATCCATCTTTGTAGGTCACATAACGTGGTTTTGAACCTTCAACAGTCAAGTGCCATCCTTGTCTCACTGTGTCCCTGGCCTCCTACTGAGCTGGGTGCCACCAAGTCTGTGTGACATTCTGCTAACAAAGCACATTCACTGGAGGTGTAAACAATAACTCATTCTGAGACAATGTGGCCAGGCATTTCCAGGGGGTTTCGGTGGGATATTGATTGTCCAAGGTCTGGCTGAATGCATACTATCTGTTCCATTTCTGCAGTTTGCAAATTACAGAGCCCAGCTAGGCTTAAATTTAGCTTTCATGTTTTGAGTTTTTAACCAGGCTCATGAAAAAATGCCAATATTTCTGTGACAATCCTGGAGATCGTGGGGCTCCTGACCACAAAATCATGCTTGACAAATCTAATGGAATTTTTCAAGGATGTAACTTGTAGTGTTGATATGAGGAACCAGTGCATGTGGTTTGCTTAGACTTTCACAATGTTTTCAACAAGGTCCCACACCAGAGATTAGCATCTGAAATGAAAACACATGAGTTTGGTGGGTAGAGTACTGTCATAGATAGAGAACTGGTTGGTAGACAGGAAACAAAGAGTAGAAATAAATAGGTCATTTTTCAAGTAGCATCCATGGCTAGTGGCATCCTATAGGGATCATAGAGTCATACAACACAGAAACAGACCCTTCAGTCCAATACCAGTTTCTCAAACTGAACCATTCCCATTTGTCTGTGTTTGGCCCATACCACGCTAAATGTTTCCTATCTATGTACCTGTCCAAATGTCTTTTAAATGTTGTAATTGTACTCCCCTCCACCAGCTCCTCTGGTTCAGATCCCAACTGTTCACATATATGTTATTGATTTAGAGGAGGGACCTAAATGTAATATTTCCAATTTTCAGATGATAAAAAGCTGAGTGGGAGAGGGTAAACTACAAGGAGAATGGAGAGCTGCTTCAGTGTGATTTATACACGTTGAATCAATGCATGGCAGATGCATTTTGGTAGCAAAAAGCAAGAACATAGTTTATTATCTGAATGGCAGTAGATTGAGAAAGGTGAAGGTGCAACATGACCTGGGTGTCCTTGTTCACCAGCAGCGGGCAGTAAAGAAGACAAATGATGTGTTGGCCTTCATAGTGAGAGGATTTGAGTTCAGGACCAGGGACATCTTGCTACAATTGTACAGGGCCTAGGTGAGACCACACCTGGAGTATTGTGTGCAGTGTTGATCTGCTTATCTCAGAAAGGATGTTCTGGTTATAGAGGGAGTGCAATGAAAGTTTACCAAACTGATTCCTGGGATGACAGGCCTGACGTACGAAGAGAGACGAGATCGGTTGGGACTATGTTCACTGGAGTTTAGAAGAATGAGGGGGGTTTGCGTAGATACCCATAAAATTCTAACAGGGCTAGACAGGGTGAATGCAGGGAGAATGTTCCCAATGACCAGAGAGTCAGACCAGGGAACCAGAAGGACACGGTATTGGCCACTCAGGATAGAAATAAGGAGAAATTTCTACACCCAGAGCATGGTGAGCAGATAGAGTTGTCCAATTTTCCAAATGCAGGGAAAGCAGTTGAGGCCAAAACATTGAATATTTTCCTGAAGGAGCTAAATATAGTTCTCAGGGCTAAAATGATCAAAGGGTATGGGAAAATAATGGGAACAAGGTACTGAGTTAGATGATCAGCCATGGCCATATTGAATGGCAGAGCAGAGTTGAAGGGCTGAATGGCCTACTCCTGCTCCGATTTCCTATGTTTCTAAGACATTACAGAGATAGTTAGTTAATATATTGACCACTTTGTGCGTCAGTCTGTTTGTGGAAACAAATGATTGCAAGCAAGTTGCAGGTATTAAACTGAGAGTCTGTGTGAGAATCAATCTTCTAAACAACTTTGAAAAACCTATTTTTGTCTGCTTTTGCTTAGAAATCTAATTTCAAAGTCTAGTTCATTTAGATGTGTATCATTTAAATTCACCTACAAGTGAAATGCTGTGTGTTGTGTTTTTGTTGGCGTAATTGAATCACAATGCTATGATTTGCTTTTGCAGGAACATTCATTCCGTAGCGAACTGATTAAAATCAGCAAGACGCAATATACCGACATCAGGCATTACATCCAAGAGGCTCAGATGATAGCTTGTACAACGTGAGTACTAATTAACAGTTCCCACAAATTGTTAGGGAGAAATAATCTGCCCCAGTGAATTTGAGTAGCATTCCTTTTTCTGTCAAAAGGATTTCTATAACGTGCAACCCTAAACACATCACACAAGTACCATCATTGAAGGCATTCTAGCCTGAATTTTCTCTCCCATATTAGATGCATGGGGTCAGGACAATTCACTGCTCTGCCACTTGATCTGAGAGAAAATGCCATGGAAGTTAGGGTTTTCATTCAGGAGTGACTGGGTTTTATGGGAGTCGGCTAGGTAATTCTGCAACAAGAGCAAAGGTTGAGATAACACAGTGCGGAGCTGGAGGAACACAGCAGGCCAGGCAGCATCAGAGGAGTAGAAAGGTTGACATTTTGGGCTGGGACCCTGCTTCTTCAGAAAAAAAAATTTTTTTTGTTTTCTGAACAAGGGTCCCGACCCGAAACGTCATCTTTCCTACACCCCTGATGCTGCCTGGCCTGCTGTGTTTCTCCAGCTCCACACTGTGTTACCTCTGACTCCAGTATCGGCAGTTCTTACTATCTCCAAGAGCAAAGGTTGGTGGGTTGGTGGGGTGTGGGGGGTGTTGCAGGTGCAGGCCTGCCTTGCTGCTCTGGCCTTGTGCTGCAATTTTAAAAGAAAACATAAAAGAGCCCTCCAGCCCATCACACCATGTGTGCCAGTCTATGGTACCACATGCTCCTGAACTAATACCCATGGCCCCTCAAACCCTGTGTATCAATCTAAGCCATTGCACTTGCCCACCAAGGTCTCTCATATTCTCCATGCCAATTTATTCTTCTGTACCCACTTATATGACTCTGCATGAACTCCATGCCAGCTTATGCCTCAGTATCAACCCTATAGACTTTAATTGCCTGTGTGCTAAATTAGTCCCAAGTCTGCTAGCCCAGATTCCCATCCACCACACTTTGCCTTTCCCCTGTCATGCCAACACGTCCAGTGTGCACCATGGGCAGACCTCAGGACCCATGCTGAGATGATAAAATAATGTTATCAAGTGTCTATTTAATAATTAATTTTAAAAGAGAAATGCTGTTGATTTTCTTTAAAAAGTCGTTACATTTAACTTCCTTTAATTCTTTACAAAAATAAGGATTGAAATTCATGCGCCCAATTCAAGGAGTCTTTAACTGCTTGGAGCTGTCAATCAAACTGAACTACGAGGCATTCCACTGTGATAATGGAAGGTTGTAAAGTCTGTTCTTGCAGCACTGATTCAATAATGATAATTCTCAAGCTAATGTCTATAGACAGATTTTTAAAAAACTCTCCAGATAGTATTTCAAATACATAAAGACAGGCGTTTTAAATGTGTTATCAGCTTGACACTTCACTTTGACATTTTGATAGTTTATTTTCACATTTTTTATTATTCCTTTTCACAACTCATTCTGGCAGTTTGTTTTGACACTTCTGATACTTGTTTTTGACAGAATCCTTTGACAGTATTATCTCTCCTAGGACCACAACTTTGTCTTTTCCTTTCTGTTGCTTAACTACAGATTATATCCACTGCAGTTCCCACTCTTTCAATGTTGACACCCACTGTTTGCAACATTGGTGTCCCTCTGGACATGGAGCTGAATTTACAGGTTCATAACCATCCGCCTCCACTCTGTAACATCACCCATTTCCCCCTTGCCTCAGTTCACATTTCTCTTTAATTTATTCTTGGCAAGGCCTATTCTCAGTTGTTCCGAATGGGTGGAGAATGTTGGTGGGGTGGGGGTGGGGGGGGAGGGTGGTCCTCTTCATGAAGCACTGCTGTGTGGTGATCGTGTTAGCTGAGGAATTTATTCATTGATATTGCTGAATAATAGCCATGACCTACTTACGTTAGATAGGTATGAAAGGAATCAAATAGCATGTGAGCATGCAGTGGTTGGCCAACTTAAAGCAACAAGGAACTCAAGAACTCAATGAGCCATCTGTCAAAGAAGTTGGTTTTATAATTGCTCACCCATTGTCCAGCTTTTTACTGAACTTCACTAGTCTCATGTTTCTTTCTCATTAATTATCTTTCCTTTTGAATGCAGTGCAGCAGTTTTACAATTTCCCTGTCAAATGTGCTAGTAATTTGTCTATTTAATTCACTTAAATTACACTGGTATTGTAACATTAAAATCAGGTCAATGGCTTTTAAGTAAACAGATTGCTGTTGGTATTGAATACTAATGAGCGGGAATCTGCACATGTACATGGGGACTAATTATAAGTGTGGATCTATCATATTTTGTTCACTTTCTGCACAATGCCATGCCCTTAAGTTACACAGCAGCTTCAAGATATAAAAACGTGGCACATGCATCCACAATCTATCTCCAAGCATTTCCAATTCTGCAGGCTTTAATTTTTTTTTTAAAAAGCAGAATATGAAATATATAAAAAAAAAGTTATTTGTGTTTGTATATTAGTTAGTAGTTATAGTATATGGTATAATTTGGTATTATTAATACAGTAATGCTTTCTTCAGGTTTCCGTTGAATATGCGAACATATAAATGAAGAACCAGAGGAGGCTACTGGGCTCTTCAATTCAATAAGATCATGGCCAAACTAATTTTAACCTCAACTCCTGCATATCCCTAATAATCTTTCAGCTCCTTGGTAGTCAAGAATCTATCTACCTCTGCATGAAAAATTATTTAAAGATTCTCTATCCACTGCCTTTTGAGGAAAGGACTTCGAAAGACTCAAACCTCTGAAAAAAAAATTGTCCTGATCTCTGTCTTAAATGGGTGACTCCTTACTTTTAAACTATGACCCCTAGTTTTAGATTCTCTCACAAGAGGAAACATCCACATGCACCTGGTCAAATCCCCTCAGGATCTTTATGTTATGCTTAATATGTAAGGATATGTTTCATTTAAGTCACCTCTGACTCTTCTAAACTCCAGAGAATACAGACCTAGCCAGTCTAGTCTTTCCACATAAGGCAATCCACTCATTATTAGTCTAGTAAACCTTCTCTAAATTGCTTCCAATGCATTAACATCCTTCCATAAGTATGGTGACCAGTACTGTACACAGTGCTCCAGATGTGGTCTCACCAATGCCCTGTATAACTGAAGCATAACCTCCAGACTCTTGCATTCAATTCCCCTTGCAATAAACATAGCATTCTATTAGCTTTTTTCTGATTACCTGCATATTAACCTGCTGCAATTAATGACTAGCATCCAGATCTCTCTGCATCTCAGAGCCCTGCAACCTTTCACCATTTAGATAACATGTTTCCTTTTTATTCTTTCTGCCAAAATGGACAATTTGTATTCCATTTCACAGATTTTTGCCCACTCACAAACCCTAAATATATGCTTTTGCAAGCTCTTTATGTCCTCTTCACAATTCATTTTCCTGCTTACCTTTGTGTCTTCAGCAAAGGTTCCATACCTTTGGGCCCTTCATCCTTATCATTTTTATAAATTGCAAAGAATTGAGGCCCTAGCTCTGCCTGTGGCACCCCACTCATGACATCCTGCCAACCTGAGAAAGGCCCATTTATTCCTACTCTCTGCTTCCTGTTAGCAAGCCAATCTTCTATCCATGTCAATACGTTACACCTATACTATGAGCTATGGAAACTTAAGTGCAATGCATCCAGTTATTCCTCTTTATCTACTGCACAAGTTACTTATTCAAATAACTCCAATAACTAGTTAAATATGATTTCTCTTTGACAAAACTACATTGGTTCTGCTTGATTACCTTGAACTTATCCAAGTATGCTGTTATAATGTCTTTGGTCATAGTTTCTAACATTCTCCCTACAGCAGATATTAAGCTAACTGGCTTGTAGTTTCCTGCTTTCTGCTTCCCTCCCTTTTTGAATAAATGAGTTAGATTGGCTGTTTTCCAATCTAAAGAAACCTTCCCCATATCTAGTGAGTTTTGGAAAATTAACTATCAACTGTTTCACTAGCTATATTTTTTAAGACCCTGGGATGAAATCTATCAGCACCCTGGACTTGTTAACTTGCAGTTCCAACAATTTGCTCAATACTACTTCCCTGGTAGTTGTAATTTTCTTGAGTTCCTACCTTTCAATTTCTGATTTACACCTACTTATGGCATGTTACTTGTATCCAGTCTAGTGAAGACTGATGCAAAATATCTGTTCAATATGTTGACCATCTCTTTATTTTTAATTACTAATTCCACACATTTATTTTCGTTAGAACTAACACTTAGTGTATTGACTCCTTTCTTTATTGAATATCTGAAGAAACTAGTTTTTTAGTTTTTGGGCCAACATGCTCTTATATTCTAATTTTTCCCTCTTAATTAATCTTTTAGTAATACTTCACTTTTTAAACAAAAGATTCTGCCCATTTATGTCAGTGTTGAGGAAGAAGTCTCTCAGAGGTTAATAATTTTGCGGGATTCATTCTTGCAGAAGGCCCTTGAGGCTGGGTCATTATGTATATTTAAGGCTGAGTTGGACAGATTTTTAATCAGTAAGGGGAATCAAAGGTAATGGGGAAAAGGTAGGAAAGTGAAGTTGAGGATTATTAGATCACCTTTGGCCTCAATGAATGGTGGAAAAATTCCGTGGATTCAATGGTCTACTTCAGCTCTGTCTTATGGACTTATATGAATTATCACGGCAGAAGAGCTCAAGCCCCACTAAATAGGATTAAAAAATAGGGATGACCAAAGCGTATTGTAAGTTTGGCTGACTAGACAGGGTCAAGTCAGGGTTAAGACAGGCCGAACAGAGAGACTTAGTGGTGCAGGTGCATAGTTCTTTGAAAGTGGAGCCACAGGTAGACAGGGTGGCGTTTGGCACATTGGCCTTCATTGGACAAAACATCGAGTATAGGAGTTGGGACGTCATGTTGGGGTTGTACAGGACATTGGTGAGGCTACTTCTGGAATATGGCGTACAATTCTGGTTGTCCTTATGTAGGAAAGATTTTCAAATTGAGAGGGTGCAGAAAAGACCTACAAGGATGTTGCTGGAACTGGAG